GCTCCCCACCCTACTGCCCTCCCCCGGGGGCCTCCAGAGCCCAGCAGGCCATGGCAGGCAGAGCAGGGTTGGGCAAGGAGGCTTCTTGCTGCTGCGAGCCCCACATTACCCTGGCAAGGCATCCCCTGCCTGCCCCGCAGCAGCGGAGGTGGCAGCACAGGGTTGTGCCCCTTGCTGCTCTGGGGTGGGCAGGGGGCACATCCCCAAGGCAGCACCAATCTCTCAGCAAAAATGAGCCTCCCTGCCCAGCCCCACTCTGCCCTGCCATGCTGGGTCCTGCATGCTGAACTGCAGAGGCTCTGAGGGAGGGGAGGGGAGGGGAGCAGGGCATGAGCCCGAGCCCGTGGTGGGCAGCCCGCCCTCGTCCCACGCACAGATCTGAAGGGCACAAGCCCCACTTGCCTCCCCCCAGGAATGCACTCAGTGGCAGGGAGCCAGCCCCCCCAGCCAAGCCTTCCTCCAGGAGTACACTCAGTGGCAGTGAGCCAGTCCCCCTGGCAAAGCCCACAGCAGGCAGCCCACACCTGCCCCGCCCCCATGGGCTCCACTTTGGCCATGCTGCTCACAGGGTGGTGGGGAGGGGGAGCCAGACTCCATGCTCCGCTACGTTGCAGCAGCCAGGGCTTGAGTGGTGCTGCAGACCTGGGTCCCTGGTCCTGTAGCCCTGGCAGCTGGGGCCTGTGGGTGGGGGGGGAGGGGCACCAGCAGGGCTGGGGGGTTCTGGGAAGGGAGTGAGGGCAGCTGTAGGACTGGGGGGCTGTGGCTTGGGAGTGAGGTGGCTTGACCTGCGTTCTGTGAGCTAAGGGGCAGGGGAAGCTCTGATTTTCCATGATAAAAAACCCCCAAATCAAATGCCATAATTTATAGGTATTCAGAATTTATTTTATTATAGTGATTGAGGCAGTGGTAGGCTTCTAAATTGCTTTAAAATTGTAAATATATCTATAGAAAATTATGTTCAATTGATATCCGTATGTATAGTGGTGTTTCATTTTAATTGTGGATTTGGGGGTTTTTTATCATAGAACTTGCATTTTTTTCATCAGAGAAAACAAGTTCCCTGCTTTATTACTGTATTAACTCAATTAACCGAATGTAAGATGAGGTTTTTCATCCAAATAACTTGGGGTGGGGGGTAAGGTTGTCTTAGATTTGAGTTCTAACTTGAGGCAGATGGCAGCTGAGCTCCAGGGAAGGGGGCATAGGGCTAGAGGCATTGAGCGGGGACTGTGTGGGAGAGATTGCACCATCTGCCCCCCACCCCCTCAGCCTGCTTCACCCCCTTTACCTTCTACTCTGGCTCTGGCCTCTCTAATCATGAGACAGGACCAGGCTGAACTGGAGCCAGTGACTGTCCTGGAGCTGGACAAGAGCAACCAAAGGTAAACAAGGGAGTGGGTCAGGCATAGGAGGGCAAGAAGCTTGGGGGATGGATGGCAGAGGGTGTGAAGACAGGCACCGGCGGGGTGCGGGGGGAGGAGCAGGGGGCACCTGGCAGAGCAGGGAGCAGGCAGCAGGCACAAACATGGGTGGGGCAGGGGGGCAACATAGCAGAGGCCAAATGCAGTTGGGGCAGGTACCAGAGTGGGCAAGTAAGTAGCAGAGGGCACAGGCATGGTGCGGGGCAAGGGGCAGGAGGGACGCATGGTGGGGCAGTCTGGCCTCTCACACCCTGCCTCTGCTTTCCCTGCCACAGCAGTGTGAGGGATGAATTTAAGATGACCTTCCAAAAATTAGATTCTAATCATGGAAAATTATAACAAATGTAATTTTCCATATATAGAATATAATTTTTGGAAGGAGGGGGATGTCTTAAATTCAAAGTTGTCTTGGATTCAGGTAAATACAATATATTTGGTAGAACATGATGCTATTTGATCAGAACTGAAAATGTTAGCAAACAAGAACTCTTTCTAAAATATTAGTCTAAAATTTGTTGGACTCAGGATAAATGGCTAAATAAATAATTGGCTTGTTCCAATATGGAATTTGTAATGTTTTCTAACCTGGAAAACATTTATGATCCTTCAGCTACAGAAAATGAATATTTGTTGTCACTTTTCAGAAGCAACTTTCTAAATTTTTGGACATATGAACTTTTTATATATCTTAGGTCTCACGTTTCCCACTTGCTAGGTTTGCATAGTCAATTTAAGGAGCACTTTTCTAATTTCAAATGCAACATGAAAAAAATGAACAACTTAGAATTAGAAACCTGGATATCCTGACCTGGGTTTTTTGATTATTC